TATTTCCCTTTTTGGAAGGATAAGACCTAGGCATATATATTGGGTTGTTGGAAAAGACATGGCATATTTTTCTGTTTTCCTATGAAAAATCAAGTCATTACTTTTCTGATAACCCAACAGTTTGATTAGCATGGATAATTACAGGGATCAAAAGTGACATAAATGGCCATGTTGAAAAAGTATAAAAGAAAACCCTAGGTGCTATCTTCTTACCAAGTGATCAACAGGCAGTCAGGGATCAGCTTCAGTGCTTTGGCCACCTGCAGTCATCCCAGAGTGTCCCAGGCTCTGGTCTGCTGAGGACATGGAACCCAAACAAAATGGCCAACTTAAAATCTATGTATAATTTGAGAAGCATGAAATAACAGACCACCAAAATAGGATTGATGACATCTTATCCTCTGTATCGACTCTGCCAATACTATTCTAACCATCCTATCCCAGCATTTCCTCACTTATCTGTCAGAATTCCAGAATATAGAAGCTGGCACCAGGCAGGAATCAGAAGATGCAATCAAAATATTGGAAATTGGCGAGATTGAATTTCCTCTTACGTGGATCCTGTATTATCCTCATAACCTTGATATCTCCACTGTTGAGACTTTGATCCAGGCTTTCCTCACCCCCTTCTTGGATTATAACCACAATTTACAACCATTCTAACATTTGGGCCCCTAATCCATCCTGCATACACTCCTTATTCATGAACATAATTTTGTCACAGATTACTAGGAACATAAAACATTTTCTGCCAAATCAAGGTCATTGAGCTATTTTTATATAGTTATTTACTATGTTTTAGCCACCTGCTCCTTCTATTCAAGTCATACCTTTCCAGATAACCTGCTCATTTCATTTCTGAGATAATTCTTTATTATCAAGTTTGCCTTAAGGGCCAGATGTTGGCAGAATATTAATACAACTGGACCCTACATGGGAAGGTCCTTGGTTTGCATCCCAAGGCCTCCCATACATGCTGGGTGTACATGTGTGTATGTGTCATTCTGACTGGCTGAGTCGAGGGGTTAATTACGTTGTGAGGTATCTGTTAGGGATGTCTGTGTCTGTTTATTTCTCTTCTTTTTATATTATAGAAGAAATAAATAAAAATATTGATCTGAAACTCTCAGTCTTCCCATCATATCACATTTAGACAAATACTACTCATTTTTCAAGAACTGGGACAAATCTATCACCTTATTAAATTACTCCAGCCAATATAGATGCAGTCTTACCTGAATACTTGAACTATTTTTATTTTAAACTATAAGGGGTTGATTAGGATACTAAGAACACAAGGTTAAGGAGGGCCTATCAACCTGCTTACTTTGTAAAGCTCACCAATTTCACAAAATAAAATGGGAAAAACAAACATAAGAAGTAGCAAGCTGGAGAGGACCTTGGGGCATATATTTTGTCTAAATCAAGGATCTAAAACAGGATAAAAGGGGACCCGAGGAAGGAGATGAGGCCTGTTTGCCTCCCTTGGTACTGGCCTGTTCTGCCTGTGGAACTCTCTTACTAGGAGTAAGAAGAAGCTCGGAAGCTTGTTTCCTTGTCTAATTCTTTGCTGAAACCGGGATGGACCACATATTTTCCAACCTAATATAATTTATTTTTACCAGTTATGCATTCTACATTATGCAACATATAAAAGATGGCAAAATAACTTGGCCAACAGGAAGTTACAGCAACTTAAAAGTTTTATTTATTTTCTTCTTGTCTTTCACAAATAGAATTAAAGATACGAAGTGCAGGGTTAAGGCTTCACACAGAGTTGGAAATATGTGATATCTACGGTGTTTTTGTTCACCTATTTCTTATTTAATATCATAGATGGAATTCTTAATAGATTAGAACATACCAGAGAACTGCATTTTTTTATGAAACTGAAAACTGTGATGAAATTAATATGTATTCAAACTAAAACTGAGCAGGGACCCCTTAAAAAGGGATGGGCTCTGGTCCAGAAAATGGCATGGTGGTTGAGACTTTGGACTCCCATGTGGCTGACAATGGTTCAAGTCCCAGACCAGTGACTTGAAACTCATGCTGCACATTTTTGTGTATGCCCAAAATCCCAAGAAGAGAATGGAGAAGCGGTCGTGGCTTGGCTATCCCCCTGGGGAATGATTTCTCACTTTCCCTTTCTCTGTTTCTGTCTCTTTCAGGCAAGCACAGTGCATGCACCCTATGACAAAAGCTTACAAAAAAATTTTTTATAAAAGGAATTTTTGTTTTTGTTGGAAACAACAAAAATTCTCCAAATGAAAAATTAATAAGGGCTAAACTGAAAGTAAAATGTGTTTTTTTTAAGGGGTTTAGAATACAGGGTTCATTTTTTGTTAATTTAATTTTATTTATTCATTTATTTTGATTTGACCAGACACACAAACAGAGAGAGAGAGAGAGAGAGAGAGAGAAAGAGAGAGAGAGAGAGAGAGAGAGAGAGAGAGAAAGGAAACCACCAGGTCCAGGACTTGAACCATGGTTAGCCACATGGGTGTATCCAGTGCCTTAATCATCATGCCACCTGCGGGTCCTGGAGGTTCATTTATATATATATATATA